TGCGGTGCACACCTCGACCTCTCCACTCGCGCCGCATCGCGCCGCATTCCGACGACGGCGACCTCCAAAGACATCCAGAGCCGCTTATCGGGAAAGCGTGCGAGGCGCGCTAGCCGAGCGGCCTTTTGAAATTACCGCCGCGCGGCAGGGAGCAGAGAGGTGCATATCAGGCGGCAATGGCAATTGCAGCGCAAAGCGCAACCCGGCGGCCCGGCGGCCTGGCTGCCTGGCACCGCAGGGCCTCCTTGGCGGCGAGCCGCGCGCCAGGAAGCGCGGGAAGCGCAGGACGGACATGGGGGAGGCGGGGCCACCGCCCGCAGACTCGTTCCGAGAGTCGTTCTCGTCGCTCTGTCTCCCTCGCACCGATAGGGGACGCCCCATGAGTGCGAGAGAGACAGAGCGACGAAAGGACTCTCGGTATCAGTCTGCTGTTGCGGCTGGCAGTGGACCGCTTCCTCCACTTCCTCCACTTCCCTGCTCGCGCCCTTAATGTCTCTGTTAAGGTTGCGGCGGCGACACGCACTCCATGCACTCCGTGTCCGACCACGCGTGACCGTTTGGCACGCTGCTGAAATTATCACCGTGACCGTGACGGCCGGAGCCTTCATGATCACGAAAAAAACGGGGAAAGGTTTAGCCGTCTGGTGAGCCGACTCGCTGCGCTTTCAAACGCCGTCGCGGGTGTCGACTGTGACTGGCACAGTGGAAGACTCTGGACAATGCGGCGCCCTGATGAACTTACGACTGGCTGGGTGCTGGGCCGAGTTGAATGGAAACGGTTGTCGGTTTGGCACGCGCTTACAAGAACGCAAACAGTCCGTTTGCCAGCCCACTATACGGAGAGAGGGCGACGGGCGACGGCTCCAAGAACACGCATGGGATATTCGCGCGCCCTGGCCGAGGTATCTGTGTACGACCATCGATTCAGCGAAGCACATGCCACGCGTAGCGCGAACTGCGGGGCGGGGTGGGGCGGGGCGGGGCGTGGTGAGGTGAGGCGGTTCCTGTTACACTAATAGTGATTGCAGGTCCGGCATTTACGTTTCAAGGGCGTGCATTCATGCTTGTCAGTCGTCGTTCAAATTCTTAATTGCAATTTTTAAAACTTTTATCGGGGTTGTAACGTTAATTAATTTTCTTTTCCGACATCTCGCCGCCTTTTTAAAACCTGCTGCAGCACTTACCGAGCGAGAGCATTCCTCATTTTTTTCAGTGTACACTGTGTACAGCATGGTTGCCAACTTACTCGTGCATGGTCACAGAAAAAAAAGCGTATCGACTTTGTGCCTGGCAGCGTATATGAGCGCTCGGCCTGGCCACGCCTGGCCTGGCATGCAACTCCGGCTTCAAAAACAGCCCGCCGGACAGGCCGAAGGGTCACCCTAGCCGTATACATTCTCACTGGGCGTGCCGCTGCCACGTTATTCTCCGCCCGGTGAAAGGTTAGGTGGGACTATACCTCTCTCTTTCTATAGGACTCTCTACAGGACTCTCTACAGGACTCTCTTCCACTGAGAGGCCGAAATGCGGAGGGGAACGACTCCGGGCGAGCACACTGTTCATCACCTTGGGGCGGCGCATCGGCTTTCTGGGCAAGCAGGCCGCGCTGGCGGTGCTGTCTGGCCGAGAGCGCTGACTCGCACCAAGCCGAGCCAAGCCGTGGAGGGGGATCAAGATGAAATGGATCCGTGAGCGCGATTGCCTGGGCTGGCAAATCAGGGCGTCGGCAGGAAATGGACCCAGAAGGCCGCAGGGCCCGCAGGGCCGAACTACCCGATCGTCCGCCAGCAAACCGAACACGATGCAGTGGAAACATTTGAAACTCCGAGTAACGAAGTAGCGCCGCGACCCTCGTCCTGCAGAACGGCCAGTGCTTCTAGCTTGCCGCTTGCCGCCTGCCGAGTGGGCGTCGGGGTCGGGCGGACACTGTATCGGACACATGCGACGCATAAATGTGCAGTAACGTCGAGTAACGCCCTGCTCTCGCTCCCCCTCTCTCTCTCTCTCTCTCTCTCTCTCTCTCTCTCTCTCTCTCTCTCTCTCTCTCTCTCTCTCTCTCTCTCTCTCTCTCTCTCGCATGAACGGCTACGTGTTGTGCACCTCTGTTGGCGCCATGCCGCCTCTGGGACCGGCCAAGGGCGCCGCCCGGCCACCGCCTCGCACTCACAAAGCCTCTATTTTCTCGCATGGTGGCCCGGATGAGCCCCTGGCTCGAGCCCCCGTGGGGTCCTGGACCGGTGCTGCTCGGACTGCAGACTGCGGGGCGCAGGGCGAGCGCGGGTGTGACGTGTGAGCGTCCCTGTGGCGTGGCCGCCTCCCCTCCGCCGCCCCGCGCCCCGGCGCCCCTCCCGACTCGGTTGTTGTTGTCCGGAGAGGGGTGTGGCTGCCTGCGCCTGCTCCTTGCGGTCGGCCTGGTCGGCCGTGCCCCCAAGGAGTCGAGCCCCCCTCCGTTGCAACGCGTTGTGCTGGTATAAAAGCGAATGCGTCGTTGCCTAGGACACAAACGACAGGCAGACCTCCGCCGACACAACAGCCCAGCAACCCACCCCCAGCATCATGAAGTCCATGGTGAGTAGCGAGTAGCGAGTGCAGCGGGTGCAACTTGGCCAGCTCGGCCCAGTTTCGTTTGGGCCGGGCCGGCAGGGCTCTCCCCTCGGGGACCACGGCACCACGGCGTCCCTTCGGACTTCGCCAAGGCCCTGCCCGCCCTGCCCGCCCCGGCCGCCCTGGCCAGGCCTCCGTGCGCAGTGGCAGTGCACGAGTGGAGCCAGCGTCGCGACCGAGTCCAGCCGCGCCAGCCGCGCCGCGCTCGCGGACGCAGGATCCAGGTGACGGGCCTTGCTGGCGGCGCGCCAACCTGCGAACGCCGCACGCGGCAATGGCGCCGTCCCGCGCGGCGATGCAGTGCGTGCGCGGCGCGCGCGTGGCGCATTGTCTCGGCCGGACGTGCTCGCGGATTCGGGAGTCGCCGCGCCGAACGTCAAGCAGTGCACGCCCGCCGTGGCGTCACCGCGCACCCAAATCCACGACACTGCGCGGAAAAGAGAACGTCCTTTCGGCACAGAAGTAAGCCAAGCCTTGTGATTGTCCCGCAGGTTGTGTTGGCCCTGGTGGCCGTACTCGCCCCCGCCCTGGCCAAGCCCAGCGGCTGGCCTCTGGGTCTGGGTCTGGGCCACGCCGGCCTGATCGCCGCCCCCCACGCCGTCGCCATCGCCCCGGCCACCGCCGTGTCGCACTCCAGCGTGGTCCAGACGCACCCGTCCGCCGTCGTGGTCGCCGCCCCCGCCGTCCACGGCGCCGTCATCGCCGCCCCCGCCGTCCACGCCCCCGCCGTCATCGCCGCCCCCGCCGTCCACGGCGTCCACGGCTCCGGCCTCATCGCCACCGGCCACGGCAGCGCGCTCATCGCCGGCCCCTCCGGCGTCATCGCCGCCAACCGCGGCCTCGTCGGCCTGGGTGTCCACGGCCTCGGCGTCCACGGCCTCGGCGTCCACGGTCTTGGCCTGGGCCCTCATTGGTAGAAACCGCCCCCATGCCCAAAGAGCATCAGAAAATTGGAAAAATTAAATAAAAACAAATTGTCCAGCTTCCTGGTCACTGCCTTTGTTCCACGGAACCTCAGAAATAAACAAAAGGTCTCGGAGAGAAATAATGTGAGCGTTAATGATCCCCTTCACCGACAGCGCCGCGGTGCCGCAATGAGGCGATGAGGCGTGGCGCACTGCAGTGGCGTGGCAGTGCCTTGGCAGTGGCGGGGCAGTGGCGGAGCAAACATGAGGTGTCTGTCCTTCAGAGGCCAGACAAATAGGGGCCGGGCGTAAACGCAACGCACAACGCGGTCAGCCAATCACAAACAAGCGCAGGCCTCGAAGCGATGCATTAAAAAAATGAATTTATGATTTAATGGAGCTAGCAGGATAAAAGACTGTGTCACTCTTTGGCTCGCTCCTGCCAAGCGCCAAGCGCGCGCCTGGAGTTGACCACCTGGCCGTCGAGGAAGTCTGGAACCTCTGCTTTAGCAACACAAGGACCACAAGAATGAAGTGCAGTCACGATGTATCGCCCGTCCGTCGCACTCAAATCATTAACTTCCCGCATTTACTATAGATATTTCTTGGTTGATTTCCAGTCAGTTTAGCACCACATCGCGCCGCAAGCGGGAGACCTAAACGCAAGAGTGCGGCGCAGCGCCGAGGGAAATGCAATTAGCACCATAGTTACCGACATCCCAACCCCCTAAACCTGTAATGCCATCTACTTGTTACGGTGTGGGGGCCTCCGCGAAAAATCGATCATCGGGGGCTTCTGGGATTTCTGATGACTCCTTAACACCAGCTCCTGAGCCGAAAGGGTCGCCTACCCTCGCGGCGGCAAGCGGCACGTCGAATGGGCTGCCTACCCTCAAGGCGGTGACGTCATCGCCGCGCGTGTCCGCAGGCTTCCGCGGGGTGGGGGTAGCTGGCGGTCCGCGAGGCGGTAGTGACGCAGGCGTCGGCGCCAAGGCCGCCAAGGCCGCTGCACTGCTAATCAGGGCAAGCAGGGCGAAAGGGTGGAGGGAATTCCCAGCGCGGGCGGCGGCGGTGGCGGATGCGCTGCCGTGAAGGCCGCCGCGCCGACGAAGAAAACCGAGACCACCCATTGTGTTTGTCCGGCGCGTAGCTGGGTGGCGCGTGGCCCTCCACTCGAGTCGAACAGACGCCGAAATCCTGAACCAGTGACCGTCTCGCCCGGCGCTGTCGGTGCCGATCCAGTGCGCCCGACGACGCGCAACGCGCACGCCAAGGTCGGGTGGATCAAATAGACGCGGCGGCATGCGTGGGGTGCGTGGCGGCGTGGCGGCGTGGCGGCGTGGCGGGGGCCTTTGGCTGGCCGTTGGCGCGTAGCTGCAGCCACGGCGCGGGGTTGGCCTGCACGGCCCGTCACGGGGGCACCGCGTGCTGCACGTTGACTGGCGTCGCGGGGCGTCGCGCTGCTACAAACATATATAAACGGGAGAAAGGCGACGCCGGGACAAACAGTCCGATACGACACGCAGCGCGCTACGCCGCAAAGGAGTACGACTAGATCACCATGCTGAGGCTCGTGGTAAGTGCAGTGGGCGGCCGGGGCGCGGTTCGGTGTCGCCTTACCTGCTGCTCTACATCATGGTGTCCGTGTTGCAGTGCGTTGTCGCGTGCGTGGCGCTGGCCGGCGCGGCCCCCAGCGGCCTGGGACTGGGACTCGGTGGTCTCCAGCTCGGCGGCCTGCAGCTCGTGCAGTCCCCGCAGTCCGTGGTCGTCGCCCAGCCCAGGCTGATCGCCGCCGCCGCCCCCCAGACTGTGATCGCCGCCCCCGCCTCCGTGGGCGCCACCATCATCGGCCCCCAGGCTCCTCAGGTCCTCGTTGCTGCCCCCGCGGCCGCCCCCGCCGTCGTCGCCGCCCCCATCGCCGCCCCCACCACGCTGATCGCCGGCCCCCGTGAAGCGGACGCCGTCGTGGTCGGCCCCCAGGCTGCCAGCGCCACCATCGTCGGCCCTCAGGCCGCCCCCGCCCTGGTCGCCGCCCCCGCAGCCGTGGCCGCCGTGGCCGCCCCCACCACCGTGATCGCTGGTCCCCGTGAGGCGGACTCCGTCGTGGTCGGTCCCCAGGCCGGCAGCGCGACCATCGTTGGCCCCCAGGCCGGCAGCGCCACTGTCGTGGCTGCCGCCCCCGCCCCCGCTACCCTGGTGGCTGCCGCCCCCGCCGCTGCTACCCTGGTGGCTGCCGCCCCCGCCGCCACCACGCTGGTCGCTGCCGCCCCCCAGGCCGCCCTCGTCGGAGGCATCAACACCCTCGGCCTCAACTCCCTGTCCATTGCCGGTCTGGGTGGTCTCAGGATCGCTGGCCACTGATCTCTGACTTACTAAAGAGTGGAACTGATCAATTTTGTGCACTGGTAAAATGGAACCAAAATAAAACGCCCTTGAATGAACGAAAAGCAAGCGTCTCTTTGAGCGTCCCATCCTCGTGATCTGGGGAAGTCATTGAGTGAGATCAACACAGTGTAAGGTATGAACACTAAATTTTATTTCGGTGGGCCAAATGCGAGCGCGCAGCGATGCGCGTGCAAGTTACATTCGTTTTGCGTAGTGCCGGCGACGCCGGGGCGTGGGTTCGGTCGGTTCGGTGTCCGGGAGTCTTTGGTCTCGAGGCGCTGGGCGCTGGGCGCGCTGGGTGCGCCGGGCTGCCGCTTCTTCACCAGCCCTGGCCGTTCCAGCCGTGGGCGCCCCAGCCCTGGCCGGCCAGCCCGACGGTGCCCAGGGAGCCGACGGTGCCGACGCCGGGGTGCAGACCGACGGAGCTGACGGGGGAGACGGCCACGACGCCGTTGGAGAGTCCCAGTGGAGCGACGGCGACGCCGCTGCCCCAGCCCAGGCCGCCCCAGTTGGAGGGCGCCGGTCCGGGCATGGCCACGGCGCTGGCCACCAGGCAAACGAGGATCTGTCGGGCAGGTCGGCACGCCATGAGCCTCAGGCAGTTCGCACAGCACTTCGACACTTTCCCAGAGAGATCGAACTATCCCTTCACTCACCAGGAACTTCATGGCTGCGGTCGGTGGGTGGGTGTGCGACGGCGGGGTGCTGGCTGCTGGCTCGCTGCTGCAAGTGTGGTGCCGGGGCGCACAAAGAGGATTCCTTTTATAACACGCGGCCGGAACAGCCACACCCGCAGAGGTGCCCCCGGCCCCACCCAAAGTTGGCCCGTCCGGTGTCCGGTGCACCCAAGTGCACCGGAGTGCACTCGGATGCTCGCGGCGTAGCAACAAGGGCAGCCGCGGTTGGTTCGGCTCGGCCTAAGACCGTCGCGCCGTCCGTCCGTCCGGATGATGCAACTCGCGACGCCGTTGCGCGCGGCTCGGCCCGCCCATTCAGTAAAGTATGTAAAATAGAAATATAGATTTCGCACTGCCCGAATGACATCCGTCCAATCAGTTCTGAAAAAATAAATGAAATGAACCGTTGCGCTTCTTGGATGCGTTCCAGTTAGCGCCCCGCCCGGTGTCCTAGCGCACCGCCGCATCGCGTCGGCTTCCAACTTGCGGGAGTTGATGTAACGTGGTTCAAAAGTTTCCAGCCCTCTTCTCTCTCCTACAAGTCTTTGAAAGAACGAAAACAAAAAGCCTGCGGGAAGGAAGGCCGGGCCGGAACGGTGTGCTCCAGCGCGCTGCGCGTCGGCGGCACGTCAAATGCAGTCAAATCGACTTGCACCTCGGACATGCGTGCGTACACGGAGACGGCCTTGCGGCTGGTCGGGCGGGGTGGGCGGGGCGGGCGGGGCGGGGCGGGGGCGGGGCGGGGCGGGGCGGGCGGGGGCGGCGGTCACTCGGATCAGTGAGGATGCAGGGGGACTTTACTTAGTGCCAATCAAACTGACGAGAGGCCGCGCCGGGATTGCGCGGGACGCGGCGAGACGAGGCGCGACGCCCATGCGTGCGCGGCAAAGCGGCGCAAAGCGGCGCCGAGTCCGCTGCCGTCCGCTGCCAGCAACTGCACCTGTGCGCAGCGCTGCAGCGCCGAGCTGCCCGACGAGCAGCAAGCTCGCGTCAAGCCTGTGCGACGCACTCTGCTCGCTCGCACACTGTCGGGGGCGTCTTGACATTGCCTCGCCGCGGCTGGTTAGGTTAGTCTAGGTTAGGTTAGGTCAGGCCTCGTCAGATCGCATGAATTTGCGGTGTATGACTTTGTCAAAACAGACGTAATTTCGAAACCCGAATCCAGTCTGCGAGAGCTCGCGAAATGCCTGGAATGGGATCCTCCTGCTGTCGGCTTGAAAGATAGAGGGGCCCGCTGGGTATGAGGTGGTCGGGGGCGGCGGCGTGGCGGCGAGCCCAGAAGGGTCCCGCAGGGATCGGAGCCTGGGTCGGAGCGCGGCGCCCCCACGCAGCATTTCTACCAGACAGACCAGACTCGCCCAACCGGGAGGTAATCTCGTCTGAGCCGCCGGGGCGTGCGCCCAAAATCCAGTACTTTTCGACCAATACGCCAGCAAGGGAATTCCCAGTGCGCGATTCCCCTCTCCGCCCCGCTCCCTCGCTCCCCGCGAAGTCAAATCGACTACACAATATTCCAAACTCCACCACGCCTTTGTTGCGCCGTTTCAACCTAACTCCACCGGAGTTTCGTTGAATGCGGCGATCGGTGTGGCGCGTGAAGTTGGAGCGAAGAGGCCTCGTGGCGGCCTGCGCCGCCGTTGCTGTGTACACCATTGTAATTTCAGTAGACCGGGCCGTGCCTGCTCACACGCGTCTGAAATGTAACCAAATACGGCGGCGGCCCGGCCGCTCTGGGGCGGGCAAGGTGGAGTCGGTGGGTCGGTCAGGCTTACCACGATAGAGTCAGGCGTTTGTAAAATGCCTCAACGTGAAACGAACAAAAATTAGCAGCTTGTGAGCGCAAACAGTTCCAGCTTTTTCTTAGTTTTGTTTTGTTTCGCGAATGAAAGAAGGAGGAGCGTGGGGCCGAGCCCTGTCTGTGCTGCGATTGGTCGCGGTAAAACGGCGGTGAAAATAGAGGGCGCTGTCTCGTCATGCGAATCGCGGAGGCAGGGCCGGGCAGGGCGGTGCCTAGGCGGAGCGCGGAGCAGATGGTGCACGACGCACTCCATTGGGCGGGCCAGGCAGCCAGGCAGCCAGGCAGCCGCGGGGCGCAGGCGGTCGACGGCCACCTCGAGCTGGGCGGGGCGGGGCGGGGCGGGCACGGCGAGGCGGGCGCAGACAGCGTGAAATGAAGTCATGTCCAACCCCGTCGCCGCGTTGCAGACAGCGCCGTCGTCGTGCCCGTGCCGAGCCATCCGGCCTCGGCGTGCGATACGCGAAAGCTTTCGGGGCAACGAAGGCAGATTTCAATCTCGTGAATAGTCGGAGGGGAAGATGGTTTTGTATTTTCCTCGAACTCTTTTGATATTCACGTGCGGGACCCCGGCTGCCTCTCCACCCAACGGCCGCGGCCGCGCCCGCCCGATGGGTTGCCTGCCCGCGCGGCGCTCCCCGTCCACCACTGCACCGTCCAGGCCCTCGAGCCGAAGCCGCTCCAGGCCCTCCAGGCTGCGCGCGCCAAGGCGCCTCATGTGTAAACACGCCTCTCCTCCGAGCCCTTGCAGGCCTGCATTGTTGACAGGTTCCAGCGCGGAAATTGAAAAGTTTGTGTGCGGCGTTTTGCGAGCCCCCGGACGGGGGCCCCCGTGCAGCGCTGTGTATCTGGCGCAGCCATCGTGGCCGGAGGCGGCGGCGCCCGGCGTCTATACCCCGCGCAGCGGCACAGCAGCACGGCAGCAACCAAGGCGGCGATACTTTATATTTATGAGATGAGGTCGCCGTGGAGTGCACCGCGCAGGCCGGGCGGCAGCATGCAGCACTGCTGCACCACGCGGCAGCATGCAGCGAGGGACCCGGCCGCCGTGTCTGCAAATATTGGCTTCTTTCGGTGCGGCGAAGGCAGGCAAGGCGGGCGAAGGGCGGTGAAGTGAAGGGCGGTGAAGGGCCCGGGATGTGAAAGGCCGAGTGGAGGGCGTTTGCGGAGGGCGGCAGAGCAAACCACTCGGCCGGAGGAAACAGGGAATGTTTACACTAACTTCACCGCGCGGCGACCAGCACGCCATCGGGCAGACGACGCGAGCAGACGACGCGAGCAGACGACGACGGCAGGGGATGGGACGAAACCCGTTGACACGGGGACGCGGGGCGGCCGCATTGACTGCTTTCTTTATGGCCTCGTCGGGGTGAAAGCAGCGCGGGGCCCTATGGCTCGGCTCCGCTGTAAAAAGGGACAAAAAGTGGAAACGCGAACCGGAATGGGGATTTCGGCGCGAGCAGGGTGGCGCTGCTGGTGCCGCTCGCCGCGCGCTTGTCGTCCATTTCGGAAGCCGGATGACTGGAGGCGGCTGCCGGCTATTTCTGGCGGTGTAAAAGCTCTTTTCACCAGGCGGGATAATTGCGTCGGACTCATTTGCATCGGAGTGTTAAGACAAAGGGGTCGACGAAACGTTCATTAGGCTGCAACCCCTGCATCCCGTGCGTCCCGTGCATCCCCTGCACCGCGCGGCCCACAAGGGGAGGAAGTTGGTCCGCGGCACGTCGCCGTCGCCGTCAAGGCGGCAACGCGGCAACGCCCGATGGATGGGAACTTTCTGCTTTCGATCCGTGACACCCTTTCCTCGCTGGTTTCATCTCGCGGGGGATTCGATGTTATGAAGATGTTTCCAAGAATTTTAATCTCTTATACTTTGCGCACACAAAACTCGCACATTTTAATATCCTGTGGTGGCCGTCTTTCCCAGCGCTTCGTTCCAACGCGCGCGCGCGTACACATACACACACACTCGCGCGCGCTCGCACACACAATACACACACACACACGCACGGGCTCTTTGTTTCAGCCCGTTCAGTCTACTATTTTTTCCGCCGCCGTTTAATTCGAGCTTTAGCTCGGTGCGCGATGAAGAAAGGGGTGAAGGACGATGGTCCGGCGGGAAGGGGGAAGGGGGCGACCGTTTACGTCCCGGCGGATCGCGGACGCCGATCGCGCCGTTGTTGTTGGCTAGGAGTTTGTCCCGCGAGGCTCTGTTTTTGTTGTTGCTGCTTCCTCCGGCATTGTCTGCGGCGCGGCCTCTAAAAACACCGCCGGACGTGTGCAGTGCAGCAGTGCAGTGGCAGGGCAGCGGCAGCACGACCCTCGTGTCCAGGAGACGCGGTGCGTGCGAGCAACGCGGAGCAACGCCGCCCAGATGTCACCTCAACGCTCACCGCCACGCTGACTCGTCCGTCGGCGTCCTGGCCGCCGCGCCGTGCAGCGGCCCGTCCCGCCCGCCGCGGCCGCCGGATGGGATGCCTACCCGCGCGGCGCCACGCCGTCGCGGGCCTCGCCGTGGACGTGGACACACGCGGATACCCCCGCCCCGCAGCCCCGCGCAGGGAGAGGGAGCGCCGCCGTGGCGCCGCGT